AACAACTATGTCAAAGACAGTACCTTTCTATCTGGTTGGGAACTCGAGATATTTTATATGAGAATTTCACGTCTGTAGTGAGAAAATTCTGAACTATTGAGCACCAAACAATAGGCTTTGACCTCCTGAACAACTTTGTCCAAGACAGTAACTTTCTATCTGGTCAGGATCTCGATATAATCCATGTTGCAATCAATTAAGTCAAATCCCACGTAGTATGGTCAAAGTTTACGCCGTTTCCATTTACATTTTCCCTATTATCCGCATTTTTTCAAAGTTTAGCTTGTTTAGATCAAAACAAGTTTTTTGAGGAATACTCGTTGGTTTCAGATCGATTGGTAACTCAGCAACAAAATGGCAATGGAAAACTCATGTGTGTTGTACAAAGTACAACAGCGCGAGTAACGGAGGGTTAAACAAAACATTCTGTCAGACGGTGGTTGTTTCCAGAACTTCTTATGATGAAAAATACGAGACTACTTTGTTCATTTTTTGAGTAAATATGAGCAACTCAAATTTACTCGCAGCAAATATATTTACTCTGAGTACAGCCCCTTGGATTCGAGTATGAATATGGCATTAAATCTGGTTTTGGTGTTGGTGCACAGGTAAAATGTGAGGTTACGGGACGCCACTGGTGAAATTTACTAATCTTTGATTGATTGATTGATTGATTTATCTTTATTTAGGAGGCTTTCAGCCTGAGGCTGGTTCGCCTCCACGCACTAATCTTTGAGTTAAAATTTACTCATTCTAAGAGTGATCTACGGTTTTGCGAATTTGAGTGACCGGGACTCAAATGTGAGTCAGATTAATTTGCCGTGTAAGCCTTCAAACTCCAAAAAAGTTCCTATGTGCGAAAACTTGAAAATTAAGTAGGTACGTTCTAGAATTAACAAAAATGTTCATATCTTGAGGACCTTTAAAAAAACCAAGAACGAGAGCCCGTTTTTTGACGTAGGACTACGTCTTTGATTTCTATATGGGGGTACACTTTGTGAAAACCGAAAATGGAACATGTAACAAATTAAGAAAGATTTTGAACGTTAATAACTCAGCTGCCCCTGGTCTAATTTCAATAATTTTATCACCAATCGATCAGAAATATGGCTACGCATCGATAACAATGCTTCCGAATGTTGATTTTCGACAAGAAACTATTGAAAAACTGGTAAATGTCCAGCATTGTCCAAAAGTGTCGAATTAACTAACAAATCCACCACTTACCTACATGCATATGCTGCTTCCCCAGCACAGTCGTCAGAGAGTAGTAAGTAGACGAAACAAGTCGAAGTGGCATTCGCCTCCGATCCTCGGGCGCGTGCGAATAGGGAGGATGGAATTGCGTAATTTTTTGCACACTCATCGCCATACTCAGAACATTCGCTCCCAACGACCACACCACTGTGTAGTGGTGTTCGATCGTCGAAATTAGTAGCAGCAGTAGCAGCAGTAGCAGCAGTAGCAGTGCTTTCGGCGTGTTGCGTTGAAAATTGTTCTCAAGTAACAATGAAAGGCTGCCTGCACGCAGTGAGCTGCAGAGCCCACATAAGCAACCATCAAAGGGAAGAAGCTGCACCGCTATGATATGGATCGGAATCAGTAGCTCTTCGTGAGTCACTGCGGGTCGGTCATCTATGCCAAACGTGTCACCCTCGCTCCAAACGACATACAGCTCGACAGCCTCATCCGTGTTGAACACCCAGCTCAGAATTACTCAACCATCACTACAAAACGGTCCTTTTCAGGGCCACAAAAAATTTGTTAAAGAGCATTATTTGGACATTGGTCAAGGTCATCAGTTCCCGCAAGCAGCTAGCTATCAAGGCGCAACCTGTCTATAGAAGGTGTGGAATTGTAGGCCTGAATATATTGGTGCAATTAGTTTTTCCTCGGCTTTCATTCCGCACGATTCGTTTCTTTCGTTTAATCAATCACCCTTGTAGTGACGTCGAAAAGATTGTTTAAATCGGCAACTTACATATGAAATTTAATGTGGATGAAAGAATTTTTTGTATGTTACCAAAATTTATGAATGCTTTGCCACTAAATGTTGAGATAATTCATTGATTATTGAATTATCACACTGTATACCACGAAAAAGCAGCTTGTTTGTGAGTTTTTGCCAGTTTTCAAGCAAGGAGTTATCTTAAAAAACAAATCGCCAGCTGTTATTTCCCGGCGACTTTACAAATAAATAAAATCAAACAAAATCATCATGCAGAACTAGCTAGGATTTATTTTACTTCATATTTCACAACATTGCTTTCGAGTATTAAGACATCGTCTCCCGCAAAGTTTACATTTTTCCCTCTACCAACACATACATCAGGGCTAGATAGATCTCCACAGGATCTATAGAATCCACTCAATTTCAAAAAACCAAAATGCACAGCATTACGAAAAGAGGTCAGGTTTCGACCAATAGCAGATAGATTTTAATTCTAAACAAGCCAAACGATTGGAAATTTATCTACCAATCTGCTAAAATGAACACTTAATTAATTTTCAATAGGTCACTATTGAAAAATAACAAATGTCCAACTGCTGCAATGGTGATCAAAATTATCACCGAATGTCTGAAAACAGCGCATTCCCTAACACAGACTTAAAAATCGAATTCGATGCGGTCCCACTGAACGGTGCTCATTCAGTCACCGTAAGTGGTCGTGTCCAGTCCAGCAGCAGCAGGAGTGCTTTCAACAACAACAACAACGAAAGGCTGCCTGCAAGCAGCGAGCTGCAGAGCTCATATGAGCAACCATAGAGAATGAGGAAGAAGTCCCACCGCTAGGCTAGGATCGGAATCAGCAGCTCGTCGTGCTCAGCATTACTCAACCATCACTACAGAATGGTCTGTTTCAGGACCACCATAAATGTGTTAAGAGTATTAATTGGACATTTGTCAAAGTCATCAGTTCCCGCAAGCAGCTAGCTATCAAGGCTCAACCTAGTCTCTATATAAGGTGTGGAATTGTAGGCCCGAATGTATTGGTGAGATTAATCATCGTCCGACCATTATCCAGAACACGCTGGTAGGAAGTGTTAAAAATCCATATAGAATTTGAGAGAAGTGGGAATAATGCGCAATAAAATCAAATTTGTGAGAAAATTAGCTCTCACGAGTTCAATCTCTCGAAGTCCCTCGTTTTTTACATATTCTGCACAAACGATACTTTCCGCCCCGCCCCATTCATATAATTCGGAAAGAAATCCTGTGAGGGGTAAATTGAATACACTTTAATACCAAAATGCACAAAACATAAAAATTCCTAAATAAAAAACAAATCAAAATACTCCTTTCAAAGTCGGGTAGATGAATCGAAAATGCTCAAGTTGACAGTCCCTTGGATTCTCTTCATCAACTTTCTCTTTGAAATAAATACTATAAATTTGATACGCTTAAAAATAAAAAACGGAAAGAATTAAGTTCACATTTGTTCCGTCCACTAGCGGTCCTACGTCAAGCTTCCGGTCGTGCCCCTAGGCACAGACCCTTCTACCTTTTTTTTCGTGGAATTGGTTTACTGCCGGTAATCGCAAGTAAGTCCCATCTGCATTTTAATGAATTTTGAGTTAGCATCATTATTCAGTTCATCTTTCTATGTTTTTTGAGATGTGCTATTGAAATAAGGTGGTTTGTTCAAGAAAAATGAAAAACAATACCAAGTCAAATTGTCCCACACCGAAAAGTAACCGCAAGTCAGTCCCATTAGAAAAAAAATATGTTAGAAATGTTAGACAACACATCGCATCATGAGATTTGTCTCAAGACAGATTTTGTCCACTTCCCCTAGGGTATCTGGAACATGTCCTGATGTGGCCAATATAGTTCTTACGATACTCAGTTTGACCGCCAATGGATGGCTTTGAATTCTCATGTGATTTGATGTATCGCTTGATGGATTTTGATTTAAAAAGGATTTACCACTTCCCCGGGGATACCCGGAATATGTCCGGGTTTGGCCAACATGGTGCTGGTCACTGATCATGACTCTTATCGATCTTATTTTTGAATTCTCATGTGAATTATGTGAATAATCAATTGATTTATCGCATGGTGGGTTTGGCACGTTTATGAAAAGCTCTGGTCTGATGAAGACCCATGCTCACCGGAATACGTTCCGGCCATTGCTCTGGAACCAGCAAAACAAATCCAGAAACATTCAATAACGTTCTACGGGACCATGGTATCTTTCTACTGTTCAATACTGTGCTAAACTAATGCAGCATCGTCATAGAATTGTGACTGACTTGCGGTTATTTTTCTTATTGACGTTAAATGTAATCGCAAGTCAGTCTCATTTAGATTTTGGCCATAAAATAAAAATTTCACGATATTTTTTTCAATATTTTATGGTAAACATAGATGCATTCTATCACATTGTACGTTTATTTTTAAATTTATCCCTCCAAAAAAAGTGTCAAATCAAAAAAGTTGTAAAATCTTTGAACGCCGTTTTCTCATTTCCAGTTTTTTACAGATGGGACTGACTTGCGATTATGGGCAGTTTAGCTATGTCTAAAGATTCTAAAACCATCTTAATTTCATTGTTTGATTTGACTACATGACTGGTGAGATCATAAGAAAGGTTTGAGAATTATTTCTTTGAATCTAAAGGAAATTGTCTGAGCTTCCAAGTCATGAATTGAATTCCCTGAGATTCTCTAAATTTCTAGTTGTTTTAGATAGTCGACACTACTTATACCTTATACGGCCCTTATTACGAGCGTCACTTCACGGTGAAAACGAAGTGAAGTGACCAGTTGTCACTCACGGTGAAGTGATTGCCGTGTAAATCAAATGAATCCCTTGAATTACCCTGTGAATCCACCACTTATACTAATTAATGCAAAGTAAAAAAAACTATTTTACATTTACACTTTTATGCATGTACGAACATTTGAACGTCTATAAAATAACGTTCCTAGCCTAGGAAATTTGCATTAAAAAGCGCATCGCTCTCATCCAATACTAACGCAAACTTTCACTTTTCCAGCAACACCAGAGAATCGGATCCAGTGGACCGAGAAACGCCTTCCCAACGCAGATTCTCCACGGCCAAACCGACATCATCAAAAAAACAAACAAAGGAAATCTTGGCACCGCTCTGCTGCTCCGCACATTCCTTCCCAGCCACCCAATATTTATCCTCCAATCTTCCATCGTAACTAACCGAAACTATCCATCCGCACTATCTGCTATTATTATGAGTTAATTTATTAATAATAACCACGATTCTGTGGATGAGCACCCTCCCCTTCCTCCACCGTTTCTTTGATAGTATCCGGTTCTAAGCGCACTCTTCCCCTCCTCAAGACGATGTCACAACATGACAGCTGATAGTACCTACTCATCAAAAGCAAAGCAAAGAGTAAAACTGGAATCAGTTTGGCGGTAAAATGTAAAAAGTGAAAAGAAACGATCCAACAACGATTGGACGATTGGCAAACCGAAGAAGAAGAAAAAATGCTCAACAAATAGGAAAGTAAGTGTGAAATGTGCAATACAAATGAGCAAACCACAATCGGAACATGATAATATCACTAAACAATAAAGAAAACCGATACATTTTAATTTAGTACCTAACGAGCGATAATTTATGAGCAGCATTCGTAGCCATTCATGTATAAGCTACTTAATCACCACCCCGAACCCCGCCCTTGCCACCCTCATTGCCCATTAGCGATAGCGATTTAGTTTAAGGATTACATTTAGACAAACAAACAAACAAGAAAGTGAACATTTCATTGAAATTCAAGAAAATGTAAGATATCAAATAAGAGACTGGCGCAAAGTTAAAAAAAAAATATTAAATAAAACAAATAAACACAAATCATTCCAACCAGTTCAATTCGAGATCGTCACCGTTCCGCTCATTAGTCAATTTGACACCCGTTCGATAGCAAATGTTGAAATCGTTTCAACCGTATGAATTTATCTCCAACCGAGACCAACCAATAATGATAATGATCTGTATTTAAATGAGCGCGAGAACCCTGCCATTTCCACTTCCGGAAAGAAAAGGCAGGCAGGCGGAAGCTGCACAGCAAACCGAAAAAGGACAAATAAAATTGAAAAATTTAAAACAAACCCATTTAAAGTTTTTCTTTTTCTTCTTTATAATCGCTACCTTCCATTATCAGACTAATTGTGTTTCGAGCTTCAGCTTGAAGCTTCTCGCCGCCGCTCTGTGAGCGCTCAACAATACACTGGAGCCAATTTCAGTCGATTGGTTTTCCTCGAAACCGTACCTCAGTCGATTCGCAGCAACTAGCTTCAAACTTCCGGTGAAAAAATTAATGCAATTTCAGAGTTCTGGCCGCAAAAAAAGGTAGGTACCTATGGCCAGCTTTCGGGCGGAGTGTGCTTTCAATTAAATTTGCAAATAAATCAGGCCAGATTTATAGAAACTATTTCGACGAAGATTTAGAGTATTGTTTTGGGATGACAAACTATAAAACAAAACAAATGATTCACATTTGCATTCCTACTTCCCCCTATCGACCTAAAATAATAAAAACAGATCACTTACCAGTACAAATCGTACGTAAAGTTGTCCTTCAGCAGCGGCGTCTTGCTCTGGATGAACTTCTTGATGAAACCGTACTGCCGAGCAATGTTCTTACATTGGCTCAGTGCCGCCCCGTACGCGCTGGTACCCTTCAGTTCGGCCATCTCGGCCGGACTAAAGTACATAACCGTCGAGTAGCGATCCGGCAGCACGTCCAGATACGGCTTCCACACACTATTCGGCTGGAAGCGCTCCACAATCAACAGCAAAGCCAGCATCAAGTTGGACAGGTTCTGCACCATCATCACCGGAATGTCCTTCATAATGTCCGGAATCTTGCTGTCGGCCGTGACCGAGAAAATCAACTTCTTCGGAACGGTTACGAACATTTCTCCTTCCTTGAAATCCCGGGTCGCTTCCAGTCCCAATTCGAAACCGGAGAATTCCGAAATCTTTACGCCATCAAACTCGCAACCGTGCTCCTTGGCCCATCGGTAGAATGCCTCGATGTTGGCCTGCCGTGGTTTTCCACTGTTGGTCTTCAACTTGAGCTCTGATTCCAACTTGCGGATCCGCTCCAGTACCGCATACATATCCTGATACTGCTTGAACTGCTCGTTCAGATTGGTCGTCTTGAGGAAACTATGCTTGATAAGCGAATCGACCAGCGAATTGAGCTCGTTCTGCTTGCTCATCGATAACTTTTTACCTCCCATAGTGGCCATTGTTGGACCGGTCATAGCCAGTTACTCTTAGACAGACGAGGCAAAGATGTGTCCTTTCTTTTTTTCCGTTGAGAGCGCCACAAATTCTCTCGTATCTGGCGACGGTGATTTATGTCTTTTTAAAACGGTATAGACTATCTGCTGCTGCTGCTGGTACGCCGAGAATGGGGAACGACAACGAAAGCAAACAGCACGCGAACGCGTTATTTAGTAACCTTGTGAGCTACCGGTCTGCTCTCCGAATGTGGGACGTATTCATCAAACGACTGTCTAAATCAATTACAACCATATTTATATTCTTTCGCCAATAAGATATCATATTAGTCCAGTTTGATTCATCATTTTGAATGAGAAATAAACTAAATGCAGCTTGAAAAATGATCATCGAACATAGATATAGGCCATTTAAAAAAGCAAGTCTCCAACTGATGAATACGTCCCCCCTGAAGGTTATAAATAAAACACACACAATGCGCGAAAAAAAAATCTTCAAGAATTACGGAAACTAGGTCTTCACTATAACGAAATAATTCTCCTGTAAATTTCACTCTCTTATCACTATCGAATAAAAGACCGAAATCTAATCAAAAATAAACAAACTAGCATTGAAACTGCCGCGTATGCCGTGTAGAAATTCCTCGCGATCCGTTTCCCCTACTGACCGCCCACGCACGACGTTCGCCCGGACCTATCTATTCGGAAATAAATTAATGTCCCGTCTTTGCAAACACACAGCAAGCAGTACCCAATGTACAACACAACGACGACGGAAAGAAAAAAAAAAAATAATGGGAAGGTATGTTGTTGTGAGATGTACCGTAAATTTTCGGATGCCGCATGCGGATTGCAAAAGCAATAATCCCCGACGGCGAAGAAAACCGGCTGTCACTCGGCGGAAAACACTGAATCTTCTGATTTCCGGATTCACTCACACGGACGGACCTGTTGCACGTTTAGCACTGCGTACTCGGAACACTGGAATTCACGCACAAAAGCACCACGATCGCGGCAAGGACAAACGTAGAACCACTCGGTTTGTTTGTTTTCAAAAATAATTTTCACGTTTTGCAGGAGTACGACCCGACTGGAACCAGTGAAGTTATTTATGTTGCTCTCGACCGACGAAACGAACCGTGATGCAAAACCCGTCGCACACACACACACACACATTGAGAAGAGCGAGCATAACCTACTGTCAAAATAGCCGGCAGTTTCGGTGGGTTATTTGTGAACAAAATGGAAAGCGAAACAGTGGACAAGAGGAATGTATTAGGGATGTCAACAAGCTTTGGGTCGATAAAGCCCTGCACTGTAACATGAGAACACCCATTAATGGGTATAAAATACTCATTTTTAGTTATTATATTATTATGTTCTTTGGAAAAACTTATTACTGTCCCGTAAAAAAAATCCAATAAAAATACGATGATTTTCATTGTCATTGTAACCATGTTATTTACTGTCGAAACATTGGACATTTTTGTCCATCACCATAAAATCACAACGAAATTCATGATTCATAACAATGAAAATCATGATATTTGAGAAATTAACAGTAAATATAAAAAAGTGATTTTTCTCGAACAAATTTGATCTCATCACACTAATTTTCGTTGTTTGAGCATTGTATCGTTAAAAAATCGAAATCCATTTTTTCTCCCGTACAATAATTTAACAATAAATTTTAATGTAATCGAAATTCAATAGTAAAAATCATTGTTATTTCGATGTTTTATTATAATTTTTTTTTCTTTGTCTTATGCAAGGGCTTATGACTTATTTGCTGTGTATGACATTAATTAAGAAAATTATGGCTTTGTAACTGCTCCAACATCTCCCCGTTAAATACAATGAGAAAATTGCTCATATTTCGATTAAGTGCCACACACATAAATGTTTGCAATGTGATGTCATAAATAATATTTATGTGTGAGACACATAATTAGTTTCATTCGCCATTCAATAAGTTTTATGTGTGATCATGCATGAAAATTATAGCCTTTTTTTGTTATTGATTAGGGATCGTCCATAAATTATGTCACACTTTTAGAGGGGGGGGGGGTTTGGAAACTGTGACGAGCCATACAAAAAAATTAAGGTCCATACGAAAAATGGGCCAAGTTTGCGTGACATAATTAATGGACCTTCCCAGGGGGAACGACACTCATTCAGATGAATTTTATTTTACCATGCTTGCCTGTAAAAATAATGTAATTGAAGAGAGTTTTTTGAGTTTTTCGTCTTGACACAAATAGAGTAAGAATAAAAAAAATATATGGGATTCTTAATGGGATTGCATTGGATGCGAGGGTGCTTTAAATTGTCATGCGTGCAACTGAAATGAAACAGTACGAAAAAAAACATCGAAGTAGCCTTTTTAGTCAATGCTCAGTGAAAAATAATGTTTGGATGGTGACAGCTGGACTACAAAAGCCTTCTACTGATAGAATGTATCGATTCCACGACGAAACTGCAAAAACCTTTAATTCTAAACACGCAAACGAAATTTGTGAAAGCCAGCAGAAGTGGCAGCAGCTACAGGAGTAGCAGCATCGCGGATTCGTGTAGCCGTTACCGAGGCTGGAAACCTCGGTCCGGTCACGACCCTGTGATCTTCTCAACCGATTTACTATCCTCCACAGATTAACTTAAAAATTCTACCCTGAATTTGAACTCACAAAAGTGACTTGGAGTGAAAGTCTAAAATCTCTTAAAGCGCTTTCTAAAACTACCCTTAATATCATCTGAAATAACTTGTTATCCCTGACATTCATTCTAAAATCTACTCAAAATTCCTAAAAAGTTTAGTCTGGTCCAAGAATCTTAAAACTTTTCAAAGCCCCAAAATCTTTTTTTCTGAAAAATAGATTAAGTAATTTTTCCCCGATTTGTCATTGAAATTCCCGGCTTTTTCCCGATTTCCTGGTTTACTGGTCATCCTGCTCATCCTACACCTGCCCTATAATATTCGATCGACTCTCCACAAATGAGAGAGCGATATATATCGTCGGATTCGTGCAATACTGGCACCACTCAAAATCTGTGAATTTTCACATTCAACGTTTGAAAATTTGGGGTTCAGTTTCAATGTTATGATTCTTTTTATTTCCATTGAACTGAATTGAGTGTGTTTCATTCATTTCTTTCAAATTCAGATTAAAAAATAAACAGTTTAACGATTTTTACTGCTTCTTATTTCAGATGTTATCATTTGTAATTTTTTTTGTCTCCTCTATGACGCACTTGATGTAAGGGAATTTACGTATTCTCGTCAATCTAAGCAGCTTCTGCACTTCTATATGCATTTTCTCAGTGTCACGCACACATATGACATGTCTGTTTGTTTGCATTCATCTGCTGCTAGCTATTCTATCCATTCCAATCAACAAAACTGTCCAAAACGGTTTGAAAACGCACTCCAAACTTCTCAGGTGAGAGTGACTATTGTCGGCAGCCTCTTTTACTTCGGCAACCTTTCCATTTAAACTGCGTGTTAACCAGTTGTTCTATTATCAGCAACTCGAAATCAGCCGTATTTTGATGTGCTTATGTTTCTTTTGAAGAAACACCTGGAATAACAGGTTTGCTCAGTCGTAAAAATGTATTAGCTGAAGCTGAAAGACTAAGGAATCGTTCAGCGAAGTGTTTTAGTGAGGTACATTCAGCGAAGTGTTTTAGTGAGAAAATACATCGAAATTAACGTTTAAATTGTGATTGCCGAAAACAGTCGATGGCTGCCGAAGCCATCATTTACCCTATTTGCGCGCGTGACCGATTATAGACGAGTGGTCCGTCATTTATTTTAATTTAAGCTCCCCCGGGAATCCAATCGAGAAATCACTTCATCCTTGGCCTTGAGGATAGATATACGTGGTGGTTACCTTCGTACTATTCATTCCCTAATGTTTCAAGTTTGATCACCAGTTGATGACATTTACCAGTTTTTCAATAGTTTCTTGTTTAAAATCAACATTCGAAGTATTGTTATCGATGCATAGCCATATTTCTGATCGATTGGCGAGGGGTGCGACACATCTAAATCTCGATTTTAAATGGTCGAAAAATCTCACATCAGTGAATCAATCTACGAAAAATCTTTTGTCATCTCTTGCATATAAACCCATCTACTCGCATCGCTCTCCACCTTTTTGCAGGCAATCTTCAAAATCATAAACAATCCTATTAAGCGTGAGTGCATCTCACAACAGCAAAGCAAAAAATTTCCTGCATCTTAGATAGAGTCGCCCCCCTCGTCGATTGGTGATAAAATAATTGAAATTGGACCAGGGGCAGCTGAGTTATTAACGTTCAAAATCTTTCTTAATTTGTTACACGTTCCATTTTCGGTTTTCACAAAGTGTACTCCCATATAGAAATCAAATACGTAGTCCTACGTCAAAATCTTTTTGTCGATTAAACAATCGATTTACTTCATTTGCTCATTTGCTGTAGCCTGAGTGGTAAATATGCAATATTGATAATAATATTGAATATTGATTCATTCATAAGAGTGATTTACAGATTGTAAGTATAACACAGCCAAAATATCATTCAATGGGCATGGTTGATAGCAAATCAAGTTAGTCAATTTTTTCCTCGACGAAAATAGACAGGACCGATTCAAAAAGTAATCAAGAATAATCATTTTGAAAACTACTGAAATAACAAACATAGACTGTATCCCGGTTACTGTACTCTCATGAATGAACAGTTGGAAGTTTGTTAATTTGACCAATAATTCTAAGTCTAACGAGAAGAGCGGGAAGGACCACGACGACAGGGACAAACCACATTCGGACCGACAACTGACACCCATGTTCGCCATTGCCACTCTGATGTTGCTGCTACCGGTTATGTTGCAAGTAAACAACTAATAATTAGTGGGCTTATGTAAGGGCCCATGCGTTAATTATGTCACGCTAAATCGAGGAAAAAATGTTCGGGGTACCATCGAAACTATTTGTGGGATAGTTTACCCATCCGGGATACAGTTCGTTTATGGTATTTGTTTATTAAGGCCTGTATAGAGATCGAAGCGAAGCGAAAATCTCATACAAAATACTACATTTTTCACCTGCGTGAAAAACGCAATTGGCAAATATTTCGCTTCGCTTTGAACTGTAGACAGATACGATCCAGCGAAATCTTATGTTGTGGATCGCATCTTTTTCGCTTACGTTTATTTTTTTTCACGCATGCAACGCTCGCGAAAAGAGCAGCAGCTAAGCGAAAAGTTGACGTTTCGGAAGAGCGTATCTGTCAGATTTTCACTTCACCGGAGGTGTAAACTGATCGATTTCGTTTCACATGAACTGTAAACTGCGAAAAAAGGAAACTGGAAAATGTTCCACAAACATTTTTTCACAACCTTTTTCGCTAGCGAAATTTCATAATTTTTCGCGTGCTTCAATTTTCGTTTCGCTTCGATCTGTATACTAGGCTTTAGGGTAGTAATCGGTTATATCATGCTGATATAAGCATTAACTTCTCCAGAAGATCGTTTCAAACATGTGCTGAACTCTCATTGATGGAAAAATGACAGCACAGCGAACACAAAATAATCGATTAGTTGTTAATCGAGTAATTAAAATATGGGACATCTCTGATTTTGTGTGATTGTTTTGATAAAAAAAGAGCGCAAAATTTAATCTCTACCAAGGGGGCAGCAAATCCACAGAATTACTTTGCATTACCTTTCAGTGGATGCAAGGGATCGTGAAAGAGGACCCTAAAATAGAAAGTTTTTCTTCCGACAGTTTCATCTTAGTATTCATCTTTGGAGTTACCTCTATGGTTATATTTGGTCAAAACTAAGGGTATTTGTTAGTAGATCTTTGCCTGCTCCGTCAGGATTGCTGTAAAATCTCCATTTCTTTACATTTTGCTACTTTCGCTCTAATCACAATTTACTCCGGATATGGGAATTTCACCAATTTCACTCGCCTCGATCTCTACACTGAAAAAAGTTTTCATGTAGTTTCCATTGGGAACGCACATGATATTTTTCTAATAAGAGCAACCGTACCAATGAGTAAATAAGGCACATTTACCAACCTCTACCATAACGCTACTTGCGTACCAGGGGTTGCTATTCAGGTGGGGGAAATAGCAATCCGCACCTTGGGAAGTTCCCTAATAAACAAATACCATAAACGAACAATAACCCAAATAGTTGAACTTTTCCACAAATGGTTTGGATGATACCCCAAACACGTCGTTAAGCAAAATAACCATAACAAATTTATTAGGGTTGTGAGTTCATAAATTTAACAACCCGGTAGCAACGCATCAGACGGTTGCTATTTTGAATAAACGTCAAAAGTTTGTTTTGCCGGTGTGGAAAACGGTAACTTAAATTATGACTCTGATAGCAACGACCGGTGTGGAGGGGAGTGATTAGGCCAAAAAGGAAACGCTGTTCGTAAGTAAAATAGTGCCGCAAATGGCAACGACTGGTACGGTTGCTCTAACAAATTTAATGATTTTTATCTGAAATTCACATAACATTCACATGATCACATGAGATCTATGTGATAAATCACATAAGCCTCATTGGACACATAAGGTTCATGTAATTTCGTGGTGCGATTCCCAATTATGAGATCACATGAAAGTTATGTGAAATTCTAATGGTTATTTTCCATCGGAAATGTGATTTATTTTTTGAGTGTACAGGCCTTGATATGCAAGAAAGCCTTTGATATTTATCTGGCCAAGTATCTGGCAACCTTGATAGCGATACATTCGCAAATACGCAAACAGAATACAAAAACAAAAATAATCAGTCACAGCAGAAAGTGGAACAAGTTTTAGCCGCAGTCCGTTGCCTCTGCGCTTATCATAATATTATTTAATCAATAAATTTTTCAAGAACAAAGACTCGTAAACAAGTTGCTGCCTCTCAATCAAGTGAAAGCAAGCTTAAGCAGTATTCTTTAAGCAACAGTGCGTGCGATTAGATGCACTAGAAGTGATAGAGTAATGCTCTTGACTATTGACGTCCGTCCGGGGGGCATAGCCCTACTGTTGTTGGCGCTGCTGGCACATCTGGCAGCCGGTCAGGTGTTCTACTACCAACCGGAACAGGTGCATCTGGCCTTTGGTGAGTCCACCAGCGAGGTAGTGGTAACATGGAGCACCATGACGGCAACGAACGAATCCGTGGTGGAGTACGGCATCGGAGGATTCGCCCTGAGGTATGTTCGGCTCGATGGTTTTAGGGGGATGGAAGTGTGATACAGGTATTATATCAGTCAGAAGCTTCAGTTTTATGCAATTCCTGAGGCGACGGCCCCATAACAAAACTGACAGATGTGAAATTTCACAGGCGACGTGTATGTAATTTGTTAAGGGGCAAGAACTGATTAAACAGTAGACGAAAACGGGTGCCGACGAAATCATCAAAGCTGTTTGATACACCGAATAAGTCGGATCTGTAATTTCGTCTGATCCAAAATCGGTCGATCATACCGACGCGAACGGGCTAAATCTTGGTGAAAATCGGGAGGACTTTGTATGGGGAGGGGGGGTGTAGGATATCATAAATAGATGGAAGTAGGCATAGGATTGATTGAGTTAGTTAAACAGGAAAGCTAGCAGATACATGTTGTGTTGCAACGTGCGGAGAGTGAATAAACGTGAGTTGAAGATCTAACTTATCCTGAATTACCGGAAGTACCCAGAATCATACAGGGGGGGGTAAATTGCAAATGACGTTCCGACAGGGGACTAATTTCGTTTCTGTTTGACCCAGGGCAACGGGAACGGAGGAGAAGTTCGAGGATGGAGGCCCTAAAAAGCATACGCAATACATCCATCGGGTGGTGTTGCGGGATCTGCAGCCATCTTCTCGCTACGAGTACCACTGCGGAAGCACGGTGGGTTGGTCGCCGGAGTTTTACTTCCACACGGTGCCGGAGGGATCGGACTGGGCTCCTTCGTTAGCCATTTTCGGTGACATGGGTAACGAAAATGCACAGTCGATGGCACGGCTGCAGGAAGACACCCAGCGGCACATGTACGATGCGATCATACACGTAGGGGACTTTGCGTACGATATGAACTCGGACAACGCCTTGGTCGGAGACCAGTTCATGAACCAGATCCAGTCGATTGCGGCCTACACACCGTACATGGTGTGTGCCGGGAATCACGAGGAAAAATAGTAAGACAATAACATTGCCTTGGATGTTTTACATTTGTTTGACACATTTCTTCCAGTAACTTCTCCAACTACCGAGCCCGGTTCAGCATGCCCAGCGGAACGGAAAACATGATGTACAGCTTTAATCTGGGGCCGGTCCACTTCATCGGATTCTCGACAGAGGTGTACTACTTCATGAACTACGGACTGAAAACCTTAATAAACCAGTACGAGTGGTTGCGGCGGGACCTGGAGGAAGCGAACCGGCCGGAAAACCGTGCCCAACGTCCCTGGATCATCACCTACGGCCACCGACCAATGTACTGCAGCAATGAGAACGATAACGATTGCACCCATAGTGAAACGTTGGTGCGCGTGGGCCTACCCTTCACGCACTGGTTCGGTCTGGAAGACCTGTTCTACGAGTACGGCGTGGACGTGGAGATTTGGGCTCACGAGCACTCCTACGAACGGCTGTGGCCCATCTACGACTATAAGGTAGGCTTTGCTCGTTGCGTTGGCACTATCGGTGCATTTGCTTGGCTTACTAGGTTATTATCGTTTTCATCGCTGCATGAAGCATTTTGGTTTGACCATGTCTGCCCAAGTAACCAAACAAGCGCGCTAATCGCCCTTTTTGTAATATGTTTCGAAGCCCGGTATTAACCTTATATATATATTGCAAAAAAAAGTAGAAGAGTCTGTGCCTAGGGGCACGAACGGAAGCTTGACGTAGGACCGCTAGTGGACGGAACAAATGTGAAGAGCATTTCGTTCTTTTAATTGATCAATTATCTATTATCTCAACTCTTTCCGTTTTTGAATTGTAGGCGTACCAAATTTGTAGTAATCTTTTTCAAATAGAAATTTAAGATTAAGAGAATCAATCAAAATCACTTGCACTGCACCCCTGATTCCAAATTTGGTTACAAGATTACAACTCTGTAGAGCATTTTGTGTAGTCGTTGGGGGTTGTGATTCTGGACAAACAAGCTCAGATAAATTCTATTCCAACTCTTTACTGATGTAAGTTTGATGGCCCTGAAAAGGGCCGTTTTATTGAAGAGGACATTCATGGCCACTTACGCTTGGCGTGTTTATAGTGTAGGTGACAGCATTACGGACCTCGTTTTCCAGGAACACCTTCAGTACACCTCGTAGATCAGATCGGAGATACGTTTGACATCACCACGGCGAGCCAGACGACCGATGGCGGTTATCTCGAAGAACTTTGCGATGACGCTTGGCGCATTGCTGTTCACCACGCCATCCGAAGCGAAAATGAGCTAATTTCTTTTTTTTTTTTTTTTTAACAGTTAAATGATCTTTATTTCTTGTGTTTGTGTGGTTTACATGTATGAATTTTTCAAGTGACACAGATGCGTCTTTTCAACTTTAGTACAGTGAGATTTTAATTATTAATTACAGTTCCTAGTCCTATCAGGCCTGTTTTAGAGAATGACCACCTTGGTGGGATTGGTATGATTTGAATTGGAAAAAGGAGTCTACTTATAACTACTATTTACAACTACAACTAACCTACAACTACTATATACACCTAACCTACTATATACAAATTGCTTATCAAAGCATGTTCTGATAAATTACATTTTTGTGCAAATTTAGTCTTAATTTCGTTAATTTTGGAATCTATTTTGGCAATGCCTGCCTCTTCATGTAAATTTGTTATTCTAGTGTCGAAAGGACGATCAAGAACCATCCTCAGCACTCTATTCTGAGCGACTTGGATTTTGTTCCTGTGAGTCTGTGCACATGATTCCCACACCGGAGCTGCGTAGAGGATCGCAGGTGCTATGATTTGTTTGTAGACAGCCAGTTTGTTCACCCTTGAGAGGCGGGATCTGCGGCAAATCAGCGGAAACAGACACCTAACCAAGGCAGAACACTTGACTACAGTTTTCTCTACATGCGAACGGAAGAGGAGCTTTTCATCGATCAACATCCCGAGATAGGTTACTTCGGCGGACCACTCAACCCTTGTGCCATCCATGATTACAGTACAAGATGGAGCCGGTTTCAGTTTGGGCGATTGCCGATGTAGGAACATGATCGCTTGTGTTTTGTAGGGATTGATTTTAATTTTCCACGTGGTGGCATAATCAGCAAAGGCGTTAAGGCATCGTTGAAGTTTGTTCGTTATTTCGCAAGGCATCCTTCCTTTGACGGCTATTGCGGTATCATCTGCGAACAGGAAGAACACGCAACCGTCTCCAAGGGGAGGAATGTCGGAAGTATAAATGCTGTAAAGCAACGGGCCCAGTAGACTGCCTTGCGGCACTCCTGCTGGGATGGAAAACGTGTCGGAAAGACAACCATTCAACGATACCTTAAACGACCTTTGCTGAAGGTAGTTACGGGTGATTTTAACCAGATGTAATGGGAAGTTGAAGTTACAAAGCTTGTACACAAGTCCGTCATGCCAAACATTGTCAAACGCCTTTTCAACGTCTAACAAGGCCATGGCTGTGGACTTGGATACAGCTTTGTTACTTCGGATGTTATTCATCACCCGTACTAGCTGATGATTGGTGGAGTGCCCCTTTCTGAACCCAAACTGTTCCGGAAGGAGAATGTTATTTTCCTCGACAAACTTGAGCAAACGATTGAGAATGAGTTTCTCGAACAATTTGCTCAGCGCTGAAAGGAGGCTGATTGGTCTGTAGCTTGAAGGCAATGTTGGATCCTTACCGGGTTTGCGGATTGGTATGATTTTTGCTACTTTCCAGATACTTGGAAAGTAGTGCAGTTCCAAACATCTGTTGAAGATAGCGGTTAGAAGAGACTGCACTTTCATGCTGAGTCTCTTCAAGATCAAGTTGAATATACCGTCAAACCCGGGAGCCTTCATGTTCTTGGTGCATTTCAGCGCTGAGCAAATTTGTTGTACTGTAATTATATCCGCCGGAGGCACGACACAAGGGGAGGCATCTAGGTTTTGAACGCATTGCGCAACCTGATCTTCGAGCGGACTTTGGATATTCGAGCCAAGCAAATGCGATGAAGCGACATGTTCGCCGATCGCATTTGCTTTCTCCTGTGGGGTGATTAAAAGCCGATCGTCATCATTTTCGACTCTGAGAGGTGGAATGGGTTTGGGATGAGTTTTCAGGACCTTGGCTACCATCCAGAATGGTCTGGAGCGGTCGTCCAGATTCTGGACAACACGCCCGAAACTTTCATTTCGGAGTGAGTCCATTCTGGAAGCAATCTGTCTGTTCAGATCAGCCGTTTCACGTTTTTTGCCCAGATCTCCAGTCCTCTGAAACTGGCGTCTACGAACATTTCTCAGGCGAATCAAAAGTTGGGTGTGGGAATCAATGGCAATAAACTTACCCCTCACAGGAACTCGTCGGACGCACGCCTCGTCAGCCACGGTTATGGCTTGATGGAGTCCCTCCAACGCTCGATCGATGTCCTCCACGGTGTCAAGCGGCGGGTTGTCGATGATGTGCCTGTCTACCACGCATCCAAACTGGGCCCAGTTAACGCGATGGTAGTCCTTGCGCAGACTTGAAGCAGGAGCCACGTTGCAGCCCAGTTCAGCCACCACCGGTTGGTGGTCGGAGCTGAGTTCGTTCAAGGCTACCGGCTTGGACAAGCCGATATTTGTCATGAACAGGTCTAGCGTCGATGGGTTGCCCGCCGGTGAGATGAATGTTGGTTCATCCGAAAACCAAACGGAGTACAGCCCATGCTGTGAGTGGTCGAACAGGAGACGACCGTTCTGGTTCTGCTGGTAGTTCCGCCAGGCCTCATGGCGAGCATTCAGATCTCCTCCAACGACGAAGCGGGAACCGTTACGGGTGATGGTGGACAGGTCCTTCTTGAATTTAGCCGCTAGTCCACTGCTGGCGGCACACTGTCGAGGGCAGTAGACGGCGATGAACTGGACGTATCCAGTCGACGACTCCACCTCCACACCAAGGGCCTCGATGATAGAGGTGCGGATATGGGACAGAGTGTGGTATTTTATTCCTTTCTTGACGACGACCGCAACACCACCCCCCCTGGAGCTGGTGCGATCAAGCCGGATAATGTTGTGGTCAGGCAACCAGAAGCTGTCGCCGGACTTTAGATGGGTCTCGGTTAGAAGGCCCACGTCGATGCTGTGCTTGCGGAGGAAGTCGGCAAGCTCAATCTTTTTTGCTCTTACAGAGCAAGCATTCCAGGTGACGATAGTTAGCGGTTTAGACGCCATACTGGATGATGAACTTACCGAGCACTTGGATCTGTTCGGGCTTATTGCGGCACTTACGAAGAGCACCGGACATGTTGACGAAAATTTCCATCAGTTCATCCGCTGAGAACAGATCGGGGTTGTTGTTTTGTCCTGTTGGTTGTCTCCAGAATCCAGGGGGGGATGGAGAGCTTTGGCCAGCAGAATCACCGGAAGCTTCTTGAGGAGGGGCGGGTTGCACCCGCGAATACGCTTGCCTTTGCTGGGGAGCACGAAGAGGCGGAAAATCCTCCGTCCTGAATGATGGAGTTTTGTCCTTCTTGCGTCCTGGTTGATTGTTGCTTGACGCCAGCTTTCGGATGCGTTTGAAGTCCTCGCGTTTGGAGCACTGTCTGTCAGAGCCTTGATGTGCACCACCACAGTTAGCGCATTTTATCGCCACGGCTCCATCCGCAGGGCAGTTGGAAGTGGCGTGTTCTTGAGCGCAGTTGCTGCAGCGTGGCTTGATGTTGCAGTTGCGGGTACCGTGTCCAAAATTGAGGCACCTCTGACACTGCGTTACGTCACGATGACCGCCACGGTATGGCTCCCACCGTACGATGATGGAGTAGATCGATCGGATGGCTTGTAGCGCATTGAGCGTCACCGTCCCTTTCTGGAAGTGCACCAGGAAAAGACAATCCGGGTACGTCTTCACGTTTTCATCTCTCCTTGTCATTCGGAAGACAGCGATTGGGGCTAGCTTGTACCGGTTGATTTCGGCTTCGACCATCTTGGCGTCGAAGTTTGGTAGACCCCTGATGACTACCTTGAAGGGCTTCTCACCGGGGATGTCGTACGTGAAGAATTCCGCCTTGGTATCCTTCAGATATTTCACGGCCACTTCGTACTCCGCTTTGGTTCGGAGCATCACCTTGGTGCCAATCCTGCCGAGCTTAAACTCAGCTGCAACGCCCAGCGATGAAAGATCGCCAATCAGCGTGTTGAGTGGGACTTGCTTCACCACCAGTGGAGGAAGCTTCATTTTTGCTGCACTCGGGCTGGCAGAAGTTTCGTTGTCGACGGCGTCGCCGAAATCACCAATGACGCTGACGTTCGTCGCGGTGGCATCGTCCCGTCCACTCGCACCACCGGACTGGCCTTGATTTTTCTTCCTCTTCTTAGACCACTTCACCGTGGCTGAGGTGGGATTCCCTACATCGGTGGGAAGCTACCCTCACCGCTGTTCTTCTTCAGTTGAGCTAATTTCACACAGCAGCGCTCTTTTATATCTTTTCAGGTTAAAGCAGAATGATGTGCAACCAAGTGGTATAAAAGCTACAAAGACTCCTCCCATTATGAGTAGTTTGCTATCAAGTAGCGACACTGGCTTTTTTCCTTTTGCATACACGGCGAATGAGAACGACCCAAATTTGAGTTTAGTTCACTCATAATTGCCAAAAGTGCAGGAACTCAGCGATGAGTAAATTTGTCTCATGGTTTCATAAAAAATCTGCTTGAAAATGAGGAAATTTACGAAAACTTTATTCAGTCTCGGAGTAGTACCAATAGACTAATACCCCGTTCACATTACAGCGTATATCACGTGATATACGCTGTCTTGCAATGAGCACTCATACATCTAGTTTTCACTGGAAATCCTATGTATGAGTGCTCATTGCAAGACAGCCTATATTACGTGATATAGGCTGTAATGTGAACGGGGTATAAGTGAATCCAATCTTCATTTTTCTCAAATTCGGGAATTTTTCCCTGGAAAATCGTTGAAAAACCTGGGAAAACATGAGGCAAATTTACTCATCGCTGAGTTCCTGCACTTTATTTCTTATATCTGAGATAACTAAACACAAATTTGGGTCGTTCTCATTCGCTTTGATATCACCTTGAAAGATATCGGCGCCGGTGGTTAGCGTGATTACCTGTCACCACAGCAGGCCTGGGTCCAATCTCAGTCGGCGCCACCGGCATGTTCTAAGGCATAACATCTCTGATCACGCCTTCATTCGGGAAGTAAAGCCGTTGGTCCCCGGTTGAGTTGATGTGTCGATATGTTGGGTCCAGGTGTGGGAGCTGCCTCCCTGGCGTCGGTAGCATTGGAGCTCAGTACGGAAAACAAATCTCGCGTCACTTTTCAATAGGTCCTATCTACATTGATCGATTCTCTTCATCGACACTCTCTTTCGTAAATAACTCGCCTTCACAAATGTTTCCTGCCGTCTTCGTCGAATTAGATGCTAGATTGTTGCTTCTTCCATCGAAAATATCCGGCCGTGGCGATTCAAAGTTAATCAAGGTTGATCAAAATAATTTGTACCACTGCGTCCAGTTTGATTACATGAGCATTTTGTGTGGTCGTTGGTTCTGAATATGGACAAACAGGCAGATGAATTCTATTCCTACTCTTTACTGTAATAAGCTTGATGGCCCTGAAAAGAGCCGTTTTGCTGCCAAAGTTGATGATTATTTAACCTCCGAAACCGAACAGAGTGCGTCTTCAAAACGTAGATGACATCCATGGTCGCTTACGCTTGGCGTGTTTAGTGTAGGTGACAGCATCACGGATCTCATTTTTCAGGAACACTTTCCGCACCTCTTAAATCAGACCAGATATACGTCAGACACCGCCATGGCGAGCCAGACGACGGATGGTGGTTATCTTGAAGAATTTGCGTTTGGTTCTGAATATGGCGATGAGTGTGCAAAATATTACGCAATTCCATCCTCCCTATTTGCACGCGCCCGAGGATCGGAGGCGAATTCCACTTCGACTTGTTTCGTCTACTTACTACTCTCTGACGACTGTGCTGGGGAAGCAGCATATGCATGTAGGTAATTGGTGGATTTGTTAATTAATTCGACGCTTTTGGACAATTACCAGCCATTTACCAGTTTTTCAATAGTTTCTTGTTAAAAATCAACATTCGGAAGCATTGTTATCGATGCGTAGCCATATTTCTGATCGATTGGTGATAAAATTATTGAAAGTGGACCAGGGGCATCTGAGTAATTAACGTTCAAAATCTTTCTTAATTTGTTACATGTTCCATTTTCGGTTTTCACAAAGTATACCCCCATATAGAAATCAAAGACGTAGTCCTACGTCAAAAGGCTATTAGCAAGCTTGGTGGTTACTTGGTTCCATGTAATGCGTGAATGAATTACCAGGCCCGGGAAATGCTGCCTTGGATCACCGTTGGAAGTCATACTAAACATCCTACCCCTTTCAGGTCTACAACGGGTCCCACGAGGAACCGTACCGCAATCCACGGGCTCCGGTCCATCTGGTGACCGGATCGGCCGGTTGCAAGGAGGGCCGCGAACCATTTATCGGCCAGATTCCCGAATGGAGTGCCATCCATAGCCGAGACTACGGTTACACCCGCATGAAGGCGCTCAACCGGACGCACCTCTACTTTGAGCAGATTTCCGTCGACAAGGAGGGAGCTGTCATCGATTCGTTCACCATCGTCAAGGACCGGCACGTACCGTACAGGCAGCTGTTCGAGGTGCCGGCTGGCGATGATGGAACGAACTAAAGTTTGCAATTGTTTTGATTGGTTTTTAAAATGTTATATTTCAAATGCTACAGCTACACGGCTATCGATCGAAGAACGTATTTTCGTATTTCGTGCAAATAATATGAACTAGCTTTAGTGGTATTCGTTACCAAAATTAGTGCAAGATCTGAACCTATTCTAGTTGGGAAATAAAACGCAATAATTATGGCTTATCACAGTTTTCTGTAAAATACTTTGCTTTCTTTATATCACTTTGAAACCTAAATGGCAGCCGTTTGTTAGTTTCGTATTCATTTTTTGTATGTGGAAAACTTACCTAATATAAAGAAAAATCTAAATAAATCAATTTTCAAACAATGACCACACAATGTGCTAATGTGCGTTTGGGATGGCATTTTCTATTTAACTACTAACATGTCAACCGATTAGAATTATGGAATGTTTGATGGATGATTGGCACATATGTATAATTCTAATATCGAGTACATACAAATATTGATCCATAAAATGTTGCGTCGTACAAGATGTTGGTGGATCTGGATAAACAGTAGGTATTTGTACTTTTGACCGATTCCCGTTAGTATTGGACGGTTTTTTTTTAGGATCTTCTATACATTTAAAAATTGTCTATCCTACCTGAGATTCGATAGCTTTTACTCAGTGGAAATGTATAATATCGATAGAATAGGTAGTGCATGCATTTTGTGTTTAAGTCCTGAGACTTGTGGGTAGAATAATTAGACTTGTTCGAAGTGGTTGGTCTTCTAAAATTCTGGAAAGTCCTAGAACTTTATTGAATTCATGGATCTTAGTGAGGATTATTTGAAGCACGCCTGTAAAAAATGGCGAAGTAAAACGATTACAGTTTGTCCATTAGGAGAAAACTAGTTGTAGAGACCTACAATGGTCTGAAAATGCATCACTCACTGTAACTTTTGACACACGGCGAATAAGAACGACCCAAATTTACCTTTCCCGGTTTCACCCCAGTGTTAAGAGGGATGTGGTCGAGAAACTTGTTCGTGATGGACTGCGTACGACTGAACCAGTTAAAGTCGTCTCTTTAGTGAAAGAAGGCACCGACCCACTATCGATGAACTTCATCTCCTACAATTCGTTCCAATGGAACTAACAGAGAACGCTTTGAACCCTGAAACTTAGCCACAGGGGATTGTGTACAGAGCATTCGAGGATACTCAGGCGAAACACAGTGTATCGCTACCTCCTGATATCCCAGCACTCCCTGCTGTTCCAGAGACTATCCCCGGTGGCTCTCCAACCCCTTTTGGTACACCCAGTATAACAGTCACCCCTAAATCCCCTCATCTGACGAATCAACAATGCCCCCGAGACGCACCGTAGAAAGCCTGATGGAAGTCCCCGATCGCCCCAACACAGTCCCGCCTACCGCCGCCTTCGTTCAACATAGTCGTCTCGGCCCTGTAGTTGGTAGTTGGTTCCACCATGCTTGCATAGGCAAGTACCTCTGTGATTTAAATTTATCGTTGCGTGATGAGTTCTCCCACTCAGGTTATTCTGACCCCGGTGCAAAGCGAATTTTCGGTGACGCCTTCTGAAAATCTCTTGAGTCAAATTACTTCTCTACCAGGACGCACCGTAGAAAGCATTTTGGGAGTCCCCAGTTCCTCTAAATCAGTCGCGCCTATTGCAGTCAGCGTTCATCCAAGTCGTTCTGGCCCTGAGTTTAGATGTGGATTGAGGGTCTCCCAGCTTGCTATATTAGGCAAGTACACACTTAATAGTGAACTTTCACTGCCTGATGATGATCATAATTCCAGTGCCTTCAACTCACCTCAAACATCTGCCAGTCGGTAACATGGAGCCATCACAATTAACTGCTCTCCGGGACGCATTCTTGCCGTTTGCCCTGAGGAAGCCCCTATTCCGCTCATCGCAGTCAAGCCCCTCCTGCCAGCGACCAGCAGTCGTCCCGGCCCTGCGTTTGAGATGGGAGAAGGGGTCTTCCACATTCCTGTTATTGGCAAGTATGACCAACAGACGAATATGTATTATCGCCTGAAAGTATCTTGGTTTCCAGCGGCCCTACTCGAACATCCTTTCTCCATCAAGTGACATCCACCAGGTCCCAAGTGCAACTACACGCTGAACCTTCCATTGTTCCTGAACAGCGGAGGTCGGACATAACTATCAGAACGTTGGCGGTATGAACGGCCTCGTGCAAGATTATCATGTGGCCGTCATGGATCACGACATTTTAGTTTTGACCGAAACATGGGTCAATTATGGAACTATTTCAAACTGTCTTTGGTGCTGGCTACGAAATATTTTGCTGCAATCGAAACACGAATAATAGTAGGAAAACTACTGAGGGAGGCGTCCTTAGCGCAGTTAATTCCAAGCTGAAAGCAGAAGTTATCGAGGACGATTCCTGGAACAGGGTTGAACAAGTGTGGGTGGTTATTCAACTTGGTGCTCGTCAATTGCTTCTCTGTGCAGTGTACATTAGAGTGATGCAAAATTTGAAATTTTCGCTCCACAATACTTAAACGATTCCAAATCGGATCCTGACTAACCTCTCAAAATTTGAACGCAGTTGGTGAGAAACTGAGATGGCACAAACCATTTGAAGTTTGTATGGGAATTACATACTATGGTAAAACTAAGATTTTTGTTCATGTCCATCTTATAATTCACCATATCGGTCTGCTTCAAAAGCTTTCAAATGTACTTGTTGGAAATTTTCCCAGCTAAAACTTTGCTCAAGACAACTTTTTGATTAAATCCAAGGATCGAAAGTTATCAATGGTTCAATGCGTTGATGTCTTATGATCATGCTCAATCAACTGCTCAGCAGGCAACATTGGTGTTTCTGGGGCGTTGAATAGGACACAAAAATCATGGCTACTATGTCACACTGCAAAATACAGTGTTGCCTACAGAGCAGCTGCTTGATCATGTCATAAGTTTACCAATCTCTTAAACAATTAATAACTTTTTCCTGTCTCGTTTTACATAGAAACGATCTTGAGCAAAGTTGTAGCTGAGAAAATTTTCTTTAAGAATAACTATCGAACTGTTTCGCAGCTCAATATGGAAAGAGACTAGGAGGCAATGAACAAAAAGTTGAGATTTCCCATAGTAATTTACATGTAAACTTCAAATGGCTTGTGCGAAGTCTGTTTCTAACCAAATGAGTTGTAACTGTGGGAGGCTAATCAGAACCCGATTTGAAACCATTTAAGCACTGTGGAGCGAAAAAGTCAAATTTTGCATCAGTCTAGTGTACATCCCTCCAGATCGAACCCGTGACTTGGAGCTTATTGACGCACATTGTCGATCCGTTTTGGTCGCTTCAGACAAAGTTGGCCCTTCCAACGATTATTCTTGGTGATTTTTTACCTACCGGACATTGCATGGACTCCAACCCATAGTGGTTTCTTTTGTCCTGATCACGAGCGTTCATCTTTCCACGTAGGAACCATCCAGCTCCTGGACAGTTATAGCACCGGTTGGAAACTAACGATTTTAAATTGGCTCACTACTTGACTAGCCTATTGGTTCCAAGCAAATCGATTAACGTACCCCATTCTAGTCGACATTGTAGTACTACACAATGTTTGTTTTGATTCGCTATGGAAGTTTGACAGATAAAATGAGGGGTTCGTGGATTTTCCTATGTTTCGAGGGGTGCATCGATTAGCTTGGGACCGAAGAGAGTACCAGAGCTGAGCCAAAAAGTTGAGCACGTTTCTTCGGGACCTTCTGGTCTTATGGTTATAGTACCGCAATTCTTTCACAAACCAATGGCCTGTTAAATGAAAACAACCGCACCCTGGATCTCTGCTTTGTGAGTGCTCGTGATACAGCTCCTTTCCTCTCCATGGCACCCGAACCTTTAGTCAAGGAAGTGCATCATCTCCCTGCTTTAGGTATCGTGATCGAAAATAATATTGTCCATGATTTTACCAGCACTCCAAACGCTGTGTCATATGACTTCCGTAGAGCTGACCATCACAGTATTGTCCATGTTCTAGATCCTGTAGACGTCAACATTGCTGCACAAACCTTTTCTCACGTCTTGGCATATGTCATTGACAGACACGTTTCCAAAAAGATCATCCATATCGACTCTCGCGTCCCGTGGATGACGAAAGATCTTCGCGCGTTGAAAAGAACTAAGGAGGCTGCTCTCAGAAGATTTACTAAACTCCGCACACTGCCGCTGAAATGCTACTATGTCAGACTCAACCACGAGTATAAGCGGTTAAGTCGTCTCTGTTTTCAACGCTATCAAAGGAAGATTCAAAGGCGGCTAAAATCACACCCGAAATCCTTCTGGAACTTCGTAAATGAGCAACGCAAGGAAGACGGCTTACCCTCTTCCATGATTTTTAATGGTGAAACTGCTGGCAATCAACAAGACATTTGCAACCTGTTCTCAGCCAAATTTGCTAGTGTGTTTGAAGACGAGCAACTCTCCGCTAATCTCATTACTTCCGCGGCCAGTAATTGTTCCTTTGGTCAACCAAACGCTCAGCATGGTCGAAGCCACTACCGATACGATTTATAGAGCAGCATCTAAACTTAAGACTTCAGCTAAGGCTGGACCCGATGGTGTTCCGTCGATTATTCTTAAAAAAACATCACTCTTGTCTTTTAGATCCACTGCGCTGCATATTCCAGCTCTCTCTTTCCAGCGTCATCTTTCCGTCTTGCTGGAAGACTGCGGATATGTTTCCTGTTCATAAAAAGGGAAGCAAATGCGACGTAAACAACTACCGGGGAATCACGTCGCTGAGTGCTGTATTTGGTGGTCATAGAGTCCCTAAATGCGCATTGCAAGCAATATCTAAGTATAGATCAACACGGATTCATAACTGGGCGTTCCACAACTGCGAACCTGCTGTGCCTAACGTCTTACATCACAGACAGTTTGATTGCTCGGACCCAAACGGACGTTATCTACACAGATCTTACGGCAGCCTTCGATAAGCTGAACCACGAAATTGCGATCGCTAAGCTTGATAGGCTAGGGATCGGTGGAAATCTTTTGAGATGGTATCGTTCATACCTCACGGAGCGCCAACTGACAGTAACTTTGGGTACTTGTCGCTCAGCAAGGTTCAGCGCAAAGTCCGCAGACGATCTGAAAGTTTTTCTGCGCATCCGATCACTCGCCGACTGCCGTTCTCTACCAAATCAGATTGACATCTTTGCTGACTGGTGTGGTCAACCCAGCTAAGTGTACAGTCATTACTTTCTCACGCAAGAAACAACCGATTATTTTCAACTACAAACTACTACTTAGGCGTTTTTCTGGACTCAAAACTGACATACTCACACCATATATCGTATGTCGTCAGCCCGGTGGCAGGCTCGTAGGCAACATTGTATATGGTGACAGCGGGCCCAGTACAGCAAAACAAACGATTTAGGCCCCGGACATGCTGCCTACTGTCAAACATAGCTGTTAGTATAGGCCTTATCACCGGCCTGTATGCCGTCGACAAAGCGTCCAGAACTCTTGATTTTGTCTTCAAGATTACTAAAAACTTCACAGACATTTACTGCTTGAAATCGCTCTTTTGCTCTCTCGTACGATCTACGTTGTAATACTGATCTGCAGTCTAGAGCCCGAACTACAATAATGGAGCCGAGCGAATTGAATCTGTGCAACGACGTTTTCTTCGCTTCGCGCTCCGTAAGCTGCCTTGGAGATACCCACTTCGTCTTCCAAGCTACGAGAATCGCTGCCAAGTGATCAATGTCGAGCCCTAACGTATCCGAAGAGATGTTTTCAGAGCCTTAACCGTCGCCGATACTCTGCAAGGAAGAATTGACTGCGAAGCAATTCTGCAACAAGTGAACATTAATGTTCAACCTCGATCACTACGCAACAGTCTTATGCTGAGACTTCCACTTCTTCGAACTAATTATAGCATAGGGAGCGCTATTTACGGCTTGCAGCTAGTGTTCAACCGAGTAGCGTCGATGTTCGATTTCCACTTGACACGGAATATGCTTCGCCGAAGATTCTCTGCCTTTTTTGCTGACCGAAGGCGCTTGATACCCAACAGCTAAGTGTAAAATTTAAGACTTATAAATTTTTAGTAACTTGACAATGCTTTCCAAGTTATTTTCGTTTGTAACTGTAGTATATGTCTAGATAGAGCTGGAATTAGGGCGTATCAGCCTTTGTAAACAATTATTTTTACCGATGATTTCTAGCAACTCAAGGCTTGCCCACGCAAACCATCATAACCATTGGGTAGGGGAAGTCGTCCCCTACCCGATGGTGTTGTTGAATTGCGTTGGTGAGCCTTGAGTTGCTAGAAATCATCGATAAAAGCCTTTGTTTACAAAAGCCGTTACGCCCTAATTCCAGCTCTATCTAGATGTAGTCTGTATAATTTGTACTTTTTTTTACAGCACATCATTGGGACTATTTCAAGAGCAAATTTTCATTACGTCGAATGTAACAAAGGTAAACAAAGTTGAGCTACCAGTGTCAATCGATGCTCCTGCTATTACACTATATCAAGAGCAAATTTTCATTATGTCGTAGGTAACATTCGCACCAATCCGAGAAAAAGAAAGTTTTCTTTTGATGACCGAAAAGTTATTCCTATTTCCAAGTAAACACATATAATCTCATAGTGATAGCAATGTTTAACATATTTAGCAGGGTTTTAATCATACAAATGCAAATCGCTAGCTTTCATGCTAAAAAAGACTGGGTTTTGAGTCAAAAGTTATTATACGTCGTTTGGTGGCCCCTATTGTTACTTAAGTCAAAGTGTATTTACCAGGATATTCGGGAGAATTATCAATTAAGTCTCCTTATGTGCAGCCCATTCATCATTTTAGGACCACCGAAATCATCTTAGCAACAAACAGTTCGATTTATTCACTTTAATAATGAGAAAGCGAAACGACGAACGTACACTTTTCACGGGTTTCTCAGCGCTGTTACTTAAGTCAAACGGCATCTCCATAGAAATTGGGTGACTTAAGTAACATCGAAAACTATTTTGATCGGAAGGTGATTACGTTAAAAAGCAATTTGACTGGTAAATAAATTTAAAAATGGGATGTGATCCTATATTCGGACAGTATATAGTGTAATAGCAGGAGAATCGATTGACACTGATATCTCGACTTTGTTTACCTTTGTTACATTCGACGTAATGAAAATTTGCTCTTGATATACTGTCCGAATATAGGATCACATCCCATTTTTAAATTTATTTACCAGTCGAATTGCTTTTTGACGTAATCACCTTCCGATCAAAATAGTTTTCGATGTTACTTAAGTCACCCGATTTCTATGGAGATGCCGTTTGCCTTAAGTAACAGCACTGAGAAACCCGTGAAAAGTGTACTTTCGTCGTTTCGCTTTCTCATTATTAAAGAGAATAAATCGAACTGTTTGTTGCTAAGATGATTTCGGTGGTCCTAAAATGATGAATGGGCTGCACGTAAGGAGACGTAATTGATAATTATTCTCCCGAATATCCTGGTAAATACACTTTGACTTAAGTAACAATAGGGGCCACCAAACGACGTATAATAACTTTTGACTCAAAAACCAGTATTTCTTAGCATGAAAGCTAGCAATGTGCATTTGTATGATCAAAACCCGGCTAAATATGTTAAACATTGCTATCACTATGAGATTATATGTGTTTAATTGGAAATAGGAATAACTTTTCGGTCATCAAAACAAAACTTTATTATTTTTCTCGGATCGGTGCGAATGTTACTTACGACATAATGAAAATTTGCTCTTGATTTCTAGTCTGTTGATGCAAACATAACAAATAACAAATAAATCACATAAAGTGTAGGAACTCAGCATTGAGTAAATTTGCCTCATCTTTTCCTAGGTTTTTCCAGAAAAAAATTCCCGAATATGAGAAAAGTAAAGATTGGATTCACTCAGTCTATTGGTACTACTCCTAGACTGAATAAAATTTTCCTCAATTCCCTCATTTTCCGACAGATTTTTGAGGTTTTCCATAGGCAACCAAGAGGCAAATTTACTCATCGCTGAGTTCCTACGCTTTTGGAGATTGTGAGTGAACTAAACTCAAATTTGGGTTGCTCTCATTCGCCGTGCACAATGATCCATTTCGCTTTTCTCCATTCCATCACGGCGAATGAGAACGACCTAAATTTGAGTTTAGTTCACTCATAATCGCCAAAAGTGCAGGAACTCAGCGATGAGTAAAATTTGTCTCATGGTTTCATGTGAAAAACCTAGAAAATCTGCCGGAAAATGAGGAAATTTACGAAAATTTTATTCAGTCTCGGAGTAGTATCAATAGACTGAGTGAATCCGATCTTTACTTTTCTCAAATTCAGGAGTTTTTCCCTGGAAAAACCTGGGAAAACATGAGGCAAATTTACTCATTGCTGAGTTCCTGCACTTTTAGCGATTATGAGTGAACTAAACTCAAATTTGGGTCGTTCTCATTCGCCGTGATGAGATAAATGACGTTTGAGCCATTTTTAATTTGCAAAACGGTCAGATTACCGGGGTTCCAACGGAACCTGTTTCATCTGAGTAGAAGTGACTGTCTCTTTGAGTTATTCTCAGTGGCGCGGTTCAGATTTTCACTCCTCCCTTTCCCCTCTCCCAGGAACAGAGGAAAATGAAATAACATGCGCTAACCAGTTCAATGCCAAAATTTCAAAGGGGCGTAATTGTTTTTGTAAACTATAGATTAAGTCGTCGATTTCTCGCAAATAAAAGCCCACCCCTCCAAATTACCAATGCTAGCTGGGACAGGAAATATCCCTGGTGGTGTCATGCATTTTCATGAGTGAGCATTTGTTTACAAATGCAATTACACCCCTCTGAAATGTTGGCACTGATGTATGTACTGTAACAGATTTTCCTAAGATCATGTATCAGTGATCTTAATGTTTTCTAATGAAATTTACAACCCATTTGAAACCAACATTTCAAAAACTATTTTTGGGGAGGTTTTGCTCCCAGAAACCAAACGAACTCTAATTATCCGTCCTATCGGGGAAGATATCAACGCGGAAGCTATCAGTCGCGGACGATTCAACAACAATCAACCACGATTTGATAATCACCCACGATTTGATAATGGGAATAGGATGTACATAGCAAATGTTGATCAACCAGTTGGTCAACTACAGCAAGCCCATGGCGAAGTAAACGCTAGAATACCTGGCAGAGCTATGCCATAACCAAGTCAACATCCACAAGGACATTTTTTAGATCAGTGAAAATTAGCGCCTCAAACTTCATTAAAGTTAGAGTGCGTATGGCAAATTTAATTTGTACCTTCCTTGTTGACTCGGGTCACAGATAATAGACGTTGAGGCTCCCAACGGCGACTTCCCATACAGTGTTGGCTAAAATCAAAATCAGCTATCTTTCAAGATCAATATCACCTAAAATCACAGGCACCAATATCAACCGGTGGAAACTAACGATTTTAAATTGGCGCACTACTTGACTAGCCTATTGGTCCCAAGCAAATCGATTAACGTATCCCATTCTAGCCAAAATTCCAGTACTACACTATGTTTGTTTTGATTCGCTATGAAAGTTTGAGTTATGTTTCGAGGGGTGCATCGATTAGCTTGGGACCGAAGATAGTACCAGAGCTGAGCCAAAAAGTTGAGCTCGTAAAGATAAATTAATTAATATTTTGAGATTGTTTCTTCTAGAACAACGAGAAAAGCAGCCAAAAGTGGTGCGTTTCACAATAATATTAAAATTTGATTTGTGAGTCAAGTTTTGTTGAATCGCTGGTTGACGAAGTGGTCCATTACTAGCATTGGTGAGGACGTAGTTGAATATATAAGAAAATTCTAGGACTTTTCAGTACGCCTGATACTGCTGAGACCAATAGGTTTAAATTTTGTTTCAGATAGCGCAGACTTCGATAATTGAAAATTCCTGAAACTATTGTTACCACAACGATCGTACCACATTTACCCGAAATAAGCTCTTCTAAATGTGCATAACGTTACATTTACCCTTAGACGGACATCCCACACAGACCGTAAGAATCATGTCGACGATGGTGACTCGAGCTCAATTTGTCAAAACCATCATCCAATGCTATTTACATAAAATTACCTCCGCTCAAAGCCGCATCATGCTGACCAGTGCCGTCCCGTGCTGCTGCTGTCCGACGGTATTTTTATACTCGGCCACACAGGTCTTGGTGAGCGGCTTCCCACTGGGCCGCTGGTAGCACGCATTGTCGTAGCATCGCTCCAGCTCCTGAATGAAATCCATTATCAACCGACTGTTGCCCCCGTTCGGTCCGACGTAGTAATCGCACTGGTAGGAAAATCGCTTCATATCCCGAATGCAGCAGTCCAGGAATTCCGAATTAGCACTGAACCACTTGTTCAGACTCGTTGGCTTGATCCGGGCGTGGCCCGCCAGAATCCCCGTGACGTAAGTATCGTCAATCCAGAAGAATGGAACCGATTCCGATTGCAGCACCAGCTCCCGGGCCGTGTTCTGATTGGCGACGTACAGCCAACCGGACAAGTACGGCGGATACACATCTCGAGGATACTCCTCTCTCGAAACGAACCATTTGTTGCCTTTCAGCCTGATAACCTTCTTGTTGCTGAAAGCAAATCCCGCCAACAGTGCACCTTGCTCCTTCTTCTGGCCCACATCGGAGAGGTAGTTCTGAATAAAGAACGGATCGAACACGATATCATCATCCATTTTAATCACAAACCTAGCCCTCGGGCAATGTTCGGTTGCCCACTTGAGGCTCATCACGTGTTTGTACGTCAGGTTTCGATACGCTTCCTGAAAATTCCCCTGAATCAAATCACCGAACAGCTCCTGTTCGCTTTCAATCGCTTTCTGCGTGATAAACCTCTCCTTTTCCGGAATGCTGCCCAGCGAGAAAATCCTCAACAGTCCCATCGATATCAGTTTCTGCTGCGAAATGGCTTGCCTATGCGCTGCCCGCAGTGCATCGTTTCCAACGTACGACGTGACCATGATCACACCTACCAAGGAAACAAAACAAAATGAATTCCAAACGAACCTGATCTAACATTCTGAAAACCAAACCCAACAACTCCGAGTAGCTTCCGTTTTCCTTGCAAACGTCGTTTGCTATGCGAAAGTGAAAGTCGGGCAAATTGACCAATCGGTTGGCATCCGGTTTCTTATGATCCACCTCCGACGATTGCAGCAACGTTTGAAATCCGGTTCCGTCGCCCCCGCCACTGCTTTCCAACGGTTTCAAAAAGAGGAAGTTTCCATCGCTGTCCACTTGGAAGGAGTAGCGATAGAGCAGGTACAGGATCAGCAGAGCTATGCTGAATACCAAAAATCGGTGGAACTTTCTCATGGTTGCACAATTTTAAAGAAACATTACTACACTTTAAAATTGGCACAATAATACTAAAGGTGGCACTGTGGTGGGATCACGGACATTCGATGTCACGATTCTCGAAATAAAATTGTGTGGGCGGATATTTTTTTCTTGCACGAAGAGCTGTTTGATGTAAACAATAACATAGCATTAAATCATAAAAATAGGGCAAAGGAGCCAACGAAAATCGTGTTTGTGTGACAGTTTCTCACGGTTTGTTTCGTTGGTTTCATTTGGTTCCCATTAGGGAGCACGTGAAAAGTGAAACAAAAAAAAGTACACGGCACGGTTAATCTGAACACCGTATTTATGGAGTATCTTTTCTATATGGACAACCCGCATAATAAAATGATTGCTGATCGATATTATTTATTATCGGTATACCGCATTAAGCCTGGTACGCAGCTGAAAAGAAAACGGAAAAGTAATTTTTGAGGATTTTTCCCAAAAGAAAATTTGACAGCTATAGTCTGCTAAATTTTGAGATTATAGGGAGATGTCGTCAAATTGTAAAATCAACACTTATTAGTGTTTGTTGTTTAAATGCATCCAAAACATCAGTTTTGCAATAAACGCCAACATTACCTAACGGAATAATTGATCAGACCATTATTCCGCAAGGAAAGTGAAATTGCATTCAGAATGCGCCACCTTCATGTCGATCACGATACTAATGTAATCGATCTTTCCTTTACCGATTTCTTTTGAACTGCGTACTGGGTCAAGAAATGCTAAAGGAAAGTAATTTCTTTAGCATTCCGTGTCCTATCCCGTAGCACGTAAAAACGTCATTACTTTTCAGCTGCGTACCAGCCCGCATAAACGCGAACCATCACATGACCTTACCGATAATGGTTATAAATTGTTTATAATCCCTGCTAAACTTCAACTGAAATGGTTATGGAACCTTACATGAACGTTTGTGTGATAAAGTTTTAACCTTATGTGTTATGGTTTTTTGGAAGCGGACCTTACAAATAATGGGTTGTTAAGAACCATTACCATTCCAAATTCTTGTTTTCTCCATACATTTTCGGAAAGAGAACTATATTAGAACGTTTTTACTTATGGTTTGAGAACATTAATGGTTATGGTTATGGTAGTCAGTAAGGTCCATTAATGGTTTTGTATTATCACTCAACTTTACGTGAAATATACCGTGAATTGGTAATCAGTAATTTACAGGCAACCAATTCGCGATATATTCCACATAAAGTTGACGATGTTACAAAACTATTCATGGACCTTACTGGTTACCATAACCATTACCATTAATGTTCTTAAACCATAAGTTAAAAGGTTTTAGTAAAGTTTTCTTTCCGAAAATGTATGGAGAAAACAAGAATTTGGAATGGTAATGGTTCTTAACAACCCATTATTTGTAAGGTCCACTTCCAAAAAACTATAATACTTAAGGTTAAAACTTTATCATTAAACGTTCATGTAAAGTTCCATAACCATTTCAGTTAAAGTTTAGCAGGGATTATAAACAATTTATAACCATTATCGGTAAGGTCAATTTATGGTTCGCGTTTATGCGGGTCGCTATCCAGCTTTCCATGCTCGGTAATGGCTTCCTGTTTGTATGAACAAATCTATCCTTCACTGTGCTATCTGGAGGTTCGGATTTTGACCCTTCTCTTTCCCTCTCCCAGGAACAGAAGAAAATGGAACAACGTACGCCCTCCAGTTAGTGTCAAAAAGCACAGTGAAGGATACATTTATGCATACAAACAGGCCGCCATTACCGAGCATGGAAAGCTGGATAGATTTAACGTTTCTCGGTGCGTTTGATATTGCTTTTGATAGCCAATACAACCTGTTACTACTCTGCATTGAACAAATTCTAGAAAATTGTTTCACTTAGCTGTACACAGCAAAAAAAAATGTAATATCGATCAATGTAATTCAAGCTGATGTACGAAATAATGATGTAATAGCAAAAAGCAGATACAATATTACATCAATGGATGTAATTTTGTTCGCAAAATCGATGTACATCGTACAACGTTATATTACACAACCGATGGATTGACCTGGTTGCAGCAGTTTGGATGTAATATTCAACAACTTTTTTTTCTGTGTAGCAATGCAAAGAGAAAATCGATGAAGAGAATCGATCATCGCGTATTCGCCCTTATGCATGCTCACTGTCGAAATGTGCATCGATGGCAATCTTTGTTGTTCTTTGTCAAAGTTCAAAGTTACGATGATGTCATGATGTCAGTATTTAAATATTTATTGATGAATATTTGTAAAAAATACTAAAGTCCATGCGACATACACAGCAAAAAAAGTTGTTGAATATTACATCGAAACTGCTGCAACCAGGTCAATTCATCGGTTGGGTAATATCACATTGTACGATGTACATCGATTTTGCGAACAAAATTACATCCATTGATGTAATATTGTATCTGCTTTTTGCTATTACATCATTATTTCATACGTCTGCTTGAATTACGTTGATCGATATTACATTTTTTTTTTGCTGTGTACCGAAATTAAAAGAAATTTAGTATGGCACCTTTATAGATTACTATCATATGACCAATGAAGAAATAATCTTAAATGTAAGTATCGATAAATAAAGATTTTTAAATGTGTACATCGAAATCATAGAAAATTCAAGGTAAAGAATTGCCGACATAAATCTTTATTTCTGTATCCAGCTTTCCATGCTCGGTAATGGCGGCCTGTTTGTATGAATAAATGTATCCTTCACTGTGCTTTTTGACACTAACTGGAGGGCGTATGTTGTTCCATTTTCTACTGTTCCTGGGAGAGGGAAAGGGAAGGGGTTGAAATTCGAACATCCAGATAGTGTCAAAAAGCACAGTGAAGGATACATTTATTCATACAAACAGGCCGCCATTACCGAGCATGGAAAGCTGGATAAAGAACTTTGAAGAAGTTTCACGAATGGTTGGTCGTCCGACTTTTTCCAGAAGTTTCCTCCAATCTACCGTAGGAAATTTGTCCCAGTGTCTCCTGAAAGTTTCTTCCGTCTCATCCAGGAAGTTCAATTATAGTTCTACCGGATGTATTTATCGAGTTCCCCCAGAAGTTTCTTTCGTCTTCCTCTGGAAATTTCTCCATAAGTCACTCTCCGTAGTTTTTTGTTTCGAATAATTGTAAGGTTTTTCCGCGCTTCTCCTAACTTCCCCTGGAAATGGCTCTTCCGGTATTTGCTTCCGATTTCCAAACTTTTCTGGCTTCAGGATTTTTTACCGAAAGTTTCTAAAAAAATTTGCCAAAAGATTCTCAATATTTATCTTGGAAGATCCCCATCGGATGTTATTTTGACATCTTTTAGAACTACTTTTTTTTTTTTTTTTTGCTTAATTAGAGAGATTTTCAGCCTTGGGACACTTTTTTAGAACTACCTTCAAACTTCTTCCACGAGATCTTCTTTATTCTTCCTCTAGAAGTTTTGTCGTACCATTAAGAGACTTATTCAAATATTTCCTAGAAATTTCTTCCAACTTTCATGGAAAGTATATTCTTCGATTTAAGTCCAAAAGTTTGAAAAAATTAAAATTAAAATTAATTAAAATAGTGAATACCGATTTTATAATCATTATGGATACCGATAATCATGAAAACAATCTGGCAATGCTGGTGACAACGCTGATCTGGATAGTCATTATTGAGTATGTTGGGGTTACCGTGTAGAACAAAAACAAAAATAAATTTATTTAAAACGCACAAACAGGCTCGTCCGTGCTCCGTGTTTCTGTTTCCGGTGCTTCTTTCGTATTTATTTAAAATCCCGTGATTTCACCGAAAAACCTTTTCACTATTACCTATACATGTAAAATAAAACACCTCCCATTATGAACAATGTGCTAGTGACCAGCAAAGCAAATTTATTTCGTCTGCTGCAATGCGAAATCTGTCTCGAAAGCGTCCAGGACGCCCGGCTCTGTCCGCAATGCTCGCGATTCTTTTGCGACAAGTGCATCCACGGCTGGATAACTACCAGATCCAGCAGCTGTCCCAGCTGCCGTGCGGTCCTACGCTACGATACTCTGGTTAAGGGATGTTCGATCAACGAGATGCAGGAATCGATCACGCTACTGGTTTCCTCCCTGGAAAAACACTACCCGGAAGCTGCCACGGCCAACAACTATTGCGAAAGACACGAGAAACTGCAGGTGAATCTGTTCTGCTACTCGTGCGAGATGAACGTTTGTGCCAAATGTTGGTTCTCGGAGGACCACGCTGATCACAAGGAACGGGTCGTACCACTTGGTAAGTGATGCGATACAGAATAGAAAGTACTGCGAAAATGGTTTTAATTGTGAACTTGTGGTTCATCTCAAACAGATGAAGCTTACGAGCACTACCGGCAGAACATGAGAATGGCCCTTGCCTGGGTTGACGGACGGATGCAGCTCATCGATCAAGGGCTGAGCAAGGTGACAAAAAATCAGCTACAACTTAGTCGTGAACGGGAGAATATCGAGAAATTACGTAAAAAGTCGGTGGCCTTGGTTGCCGGTGAAGCAAGGTGAGACTTCTTTCCGTCAGCAATATGAAAGGTAATTCAACTTATTTCCCTAGCCCTGCAACGCTCATCAACATTGTGAATATCGATAGAAGAATAACGGAACTGCGTTCAACACAGTATCAACCGGAAACGGAGACAATCAGAATTGAACATCGCAGGTAACGTTCTTTATAATATATCCCATCGAATCCATAATAGTCAGGAAGGTTGCATTTTTCACAGGAACTTCATGCTGGAGTCAACTGTACTGATCTTTCGCCGGACAGATTTTCACAAAACGATTCAGGGGAAAGATTCGTACGAATCGAACGCCAAAGGTCCCCATGGATTTGTATGGAAGTGCACGATCACAACCGTAGATCCCGAAGGCGAAGGCGATGATGGTGATGCCGAGGATGATGACATACTCTCCTGTCTTACCTTGATCGAGGGGAAACCAAGCGAGTACAGCGTAACATTTGAGAACG